CTCTGAGGACATTCCCGACGATGTTACTCTAGGAGAGTACATGCTGAACCAAGCCAGACCGAGAAGGAGAAACTATGTGATGAGATTGCTCCAGCACTCAAGAGAAACACGAGCAGCTCCTGAGCCACCACAGATTCGATACATTAGGAGGGAGACAAACCCGAGAGTGGACTATGCAAGACTGTTCAAGAAGCTGAACATCAAACCCACGCCTTGCATAGATTATCATACACTCGAGATGCTTGGAATCAGAGAGGATGTGATCTGGTACATCGATGCACTTAAGCTGAGACCCTACATGGAGCTGAACCTTCCGACTTATCCTGAGCTAGTCCGTGAGTTCTTAGCAACTCTCACACTCCACCACACGAAGAGGAGGAACCTCAGAGCATCAGATGGCATCTTGTCATTCTCTATCCGCGGACAGCCTTACTCTCTCACCATTTCTGAGGTTTGTGAAGCTCTTAAGCTTCCATACACTGATGGCATTTACCTTGAAGATGAACCTGATCTTAACCTGTGGAGAGAGATGGGTCATGGAGTCTATGATAGCGGGAGATCGAAGTCAGCCCTTTTTACTCATCCAGCAGTGAGAGTTGTGCACAAACTCTTAGCACACACGATCTTCTCTAGAGCCAACATGGGAGGTGTTTTGAAGACTGAGCTCATTACACTTCAGATTCCGTTTATGGACGACCCACGACTTGCTTGCTTTGCCTGGATCATAGCGCAGAATATGGTAAAGGTGAAGCATGATTTACATGGTTGCGAGGACGCTACTCCAGCTTTCGGGAGTGCTATTACAGCGATACTACAGGCTGTAGGATTCGATTTCTCATCTGATGAGCCACTTCCTGATGTCTGGTATGACCTACTTTATCTCTCTCGCGATCACACTATCTCTCGTGCCGCTTTCGATCCAGACAGGTTTGGTTACAAGTATTGCACTGGCACCGAGGAGCACCGAGTCAGTTTGCCTTCAGCATCTATCCCGAGATTGTGTAACGGAGGACATCCGCGATGGACTCCGTAACCCGATGATTTTCTGCCATCTGTACCTCGTCTACCATTCACCATTGGCCAATACATAGTGGCCAAGGCGAAGCGTGATGCAGCTGCGGCCCGTGCTCACTTTTAGCCATCTGTTTCGACCGGCCACAGCTCATTATCTACATCATCGCACACTCATTCCGATCTGGAGCGCAGAGTTGAGAGACAGGGACGACGCTTTGAGCGCGTTGTCACCTTCCTACAGGAGCAGCACCAGTTCGCAGATGACACATCGGATGATGAGTGATTGATCAGCACGTCACTACCATCACGGTTCTATCATCATTTTCTTTTCTTTTATCTTATTTTATTTCGCTTTTATTCACCATCTTCTCACCAACTTTTTCACACTGGGGACAGTGTGATTTAAGTCTGGGGGAGGATATCTATCCGTACTAATCATTTTCCTGCTTTCGCTTTTAAATTTCAAGTACTTTTTAAATTTTAATATGTAACCTATTCGACATTAAGTATTTTTCAAGAATGTTTGACGCAACTATGATGATTTAGACTTGCACACTTCTACACTATGCATGATAGCTCATTTGTGGTTAGCACTAGACTAGGCGGTAGCTAGAGTACTTGCACTACGAACTCCCACCAGAGGACTTCTATTCATGGAGATTCTTTCTGACAGGATATACTAGCTCATTTTATTTGGACTTAATATTGATATCTAATTTTCTCATCATTGATTTTAGGCAGGCATCGACATACAGATCTCGGACGTCTTTTACCCTCACTTTTACCACTCTTTGTCGTTCTAGATGACCAGTTTATCTTTATCTGGTACCATACCCTAAACCCGAAACCCTTGTTTTCAATCCTCATGCATTCTCTCTTTAGTTTATATCAGCAGTGTGCAAAAACGTCGGAGAGAAGAGGAGCGACGCAGTTTTCAGTCACACACAAAGGAGACTGAATGGAATCGGGAAGGAAGAGTATCAGAAACTTCATAAGCTTTACAAGACAGATATTGACTGGTAATTTCGTGCTCTCTACGGCTCTAGATCTAAAGGTGTTCCCTTTCCCTAAAAAAAAAAAACAAAAAACAAAAGTGAAAAGAGAAAGGGAAACAAAAAGCCTACTGAGTCTTAGATTGTCAAAATTTGTGGAGCAATAAGCAACCACTAATCGTTTAAGGAGCTATGGTTTTGAAAGATTTACAAAAAACTAAGTCTGGGGGAGTTAGGAGAGAACCTGAGGAAGAAGACCAGGAATCTATGGCAATAAGAAAGTGACTGAAAACTGTGGATACCAACAGTTTCACTCTCTCTTGCGGTTTTGCATAATATCCTGCATCCTCCCGATCTTCAGGTAACCCGTAAACACTTTAAGCCTTACCCCTAGAATAACCTTTTTAACACCTAGCCTAGATTGCCTTGCCTAAACTTTCTTTGATGAGAACCACCGAGATTTTTAATGAATGTTAAGAGCTAGTTGACTGGAAGTTAGATCCTAGTGCATAGATTTTCGCATGATAGATTAACGGACTAGTTATGCCTGTATTGCTAGTGAGAATTTTCTAGGCTATTCCCGATTGATGCATACTGATTGATATTGGTCTAGAAGTTTGGCCTCTGAGATTTTGTTTAGTTCCTACATTTTCAAACCTCTCGCCGAGATTTAGCCTTTGTTTTGTTTGAGGACAAACAAAAGACTAAGTCTGGGGGAGTTGATAACACCGGATTTTGACCATTTTTATGAATCACTTTAAAATCTTTTACAGGTGTTTTTACTCCATTTTCAAAGGTTTTCAAAGGATTTCTATGTTTCCGGATTTTAAAAGACTTTTCAGGTAATTTGGGATAAAGAGGCACAAAATGGAACAAAAAGACTCTTTTGGATAAATGCAGACCGTCAGAACTCTCTTGGAGAGACGAAGACCTTCTCACCGTCTGATCACCCTGAAAATTGGACAACTTATAGAATAATCAACCAGCTTTCAAATGCACTTGGTTTGGAGACATTCCAACGGTTGGATCTCAAGATATTCCATTAGCCCCGGAGCCACTCGAAGACGGCCAGCAAAGCACGCGACCGCGGCCAACAACCTATTTCCCGCGGTCAGAAGCTTCCCGACCGCGGCCAACCACTCAATCCCCGCGGTCACGTCACTCCCGACCGCGGCCATCAAGCTCCGAACTAAAGCCCATATATCTGAAGCCCAAAGTCATTCTCAGCCTCAATTCCGGAACCCTAGAGACCATGGAGTATTGGAGACTATAAATACATGTCATTTATGTCGTTTTTAGACACAACCCTTCATACTTTACAGAAACCCTTTTTCTTTAGCCGTTTTTATGAGATTTTTGTAGAAGATTGTTCAAGTCCAAGTTCTTCAATAGAGAAGTTTTCTTTATCTCTTTTCTTTACTGTTTTTCATTACTTTTATTAAAACCAATGATGATGTCGACCTCAGCCATGTCTGAGTAGATCCCGAGTTAGGCTTAGGGTTCCCGAAAGGGGCTCTCATAATCGATTAAGACATCTAGGTTTATAGATCTGGGATTTCGACCTGTTCTCTGTTTATTCTTGTTCTTATTGCATGTATGCTTGATTGATCACCTAGTATCTGATCTAGATAGTTAGTGTTGCGAAAGTTTTCATTAAGTATCAGCCCTAGAATGAAACAGGCGATTTTTCCGTAGGAGTGGAAACCTACCTGCGGCGAGATCGTGAGTATTGACGAGTCTTGTGCAGCTCTTGCGTTCTCTCCCTTCCAGGGCCAGAGTGGAAACCTACTGGTCAGGGTTGCGAGAAACAGTTGGTTATGATCACGACAGTGACGTAGTCATACCGCCGTACTCTAGCTCTAGAACCCCTATATATCGATATTCGTCAATCCCAATCTATCTACCCTAGTGTTAAAACCGATTATGATCCCTTAGAGTTCCCAAAAGCTCAGCGTTTTTTAGCCATAGTTTATAATTCCATCAATTTTTATTTGCTTACTCAAACCTGCATTTCAATTCTCTTAGTTCGATATTTTACTTGCTTTACTAGTCTTTCATTCGATATTTTACTTCCTTTATTAGCCTTTCATTCAATTTCTATACTTGCTTTCTAGGATAGATTTATTTGCTTTCTCTTGTTTTAGTTTAATTCGTGACAAACAACCAACCTTTAAAAACTAATCTAGTCTAGACATAAAGTTAAAAATCGTAGAAGAATACCAGGCACACAAATCTCTGTGGATTCAATCCCTAAATACTAAAACTGATTAGCTGTGCACTTGCGGCTTTCATTTGTTTTGTTAAGGGTAAAACTTGTTCCCTCACGCAGTTGACACGACATCATCATGAACCCTTGATGTTGATGTGAGTCATTGGTAAGTCAGGGACAAAAGGAACTTCTTGAATTGGCTTGAGTTGGATGTCCTCATCATTCACTATAATTTCACTTGAAGTGGACTATACTCTGCAAAGTTACCGAATCCAACATAAGTTGAATTGTTATGTTATAGAACTTTTTTACGTATATTTTTTTAGTTTATTCAGTTAATTACTTAGATCATGTCCATCAAGGGTTTAATGGGGTTTTTGGTCCAGGTTCTTATGCATAATTGATTTTTAAAAATAGAAAATAAGCCTATTTTCTAAGAGACCGGCTCTTAGATAAGGATATCTGATTATTAAAAAAATAAATAAATAAAAAAGAGATGAGAGAAATGGAGAATCGATTCTTTAAGTTCTCTTTTGAGAATCCAACAAAAAAAATTGAGATACTCTTGTTAAATGTGTCACTTTTGTATTGGTTGAACTTAGTTTTACCATTTAAAATTTAATTAACTAATTAAATTACATAAAATTAATAATATTATATTTGATGAGATATTTTTGATAGTTTTTTATTGTTGGAGATGGTCTAAGAGACCGTCTCTTAGCCACTTGTACGCATGTAATTGGCCAAAATTTGTGTTGTGTTTGTCGACCAAATTTTTTTTTGTTCTCGACCATTTTAATTTCTTCATCTCTCTCGACTCTCTCAGCTCTTTCTCTTAGCCGATTATCATTCCATCCGAGCTTCCGTCAATTTTAGGGTATTTTTTCATGAGTCTTGGTTCTGATTTCGATTCTTTAGATCGCGTATCAATTTTATGAGATTCTTTCATGGAGTAAATTCTCTTACGCGATTGATATTAGTCTTTAGTTGTCCTTTCTGCAATCACAGGTCTAGTGTCGAATGCGAAAGGTGAGATCTTTTAAGCTTAATGAATTACAATATGAGAATAAAATATTTTGAATTGTGGAAATTTTCCTATGTTCTTTTTAGTAATATGAAGGAGATGATTGGTAAAGCAATTTGTAGAATCTGATAATTCTTTTCGGTTCTGTTTCTTGCAGCTTAGAGTGAAGCTATAGACATGTAAGTACAATCTGTTACGCCTTCTTATTGTTCTTGTTTATATCACCATGTTTACTAAACCTCTTGGTTGCTCAAAATGAAAGTAGCTATAGTTATTATAGCTAAGAAGGTTCCTGCCATCTCTCAGCGTTCGTCATGTTGTCGATCTCATCGACCGTAACCCTCTCACCCTACCACACCGTTTTATCTTCGCTTTCTTCAAATTTGTCTCATCTCAGCCCGGATTTCGTTTTACCTTGAGTCCTAATTCGGCATGGCTCGTTTTCTAGCTGTATACGAAATGTTCGCCGAAGCACAGTCACTTATCGGGCTCGTCGTCTCTCTCGAGGGAAAAAATCGGCTTTTTCTGTTTTCAGTACTTTGGTAGAGTTGAGAGGAACCCCTATGTGTGATTTCCTGGTTGATGCTTTGATGATCACGTGCACGGATCTAGGATTCATACCTGATGCAATTCAATGTTTCAGGCTATCTCAGAAGCACAAATTTGTTGTTCTGATTCGTGGCTGTGGCAATTTGCTTGATCGGATGATGAAACTGAATCCAACTGGGACTGTTTGGGGATTCTATATGGAGATTTTGGATGCTGGGTATCCCTCAAATGTGTACGTTTTCAATATTTTGATGAACAAATTTTGTAAAGATGGCTTTGCCAAATGAATTGTAATTGGATTAAGCCTCTGCCAAATTGGTTTTATTACATTTATGAGAACTCAAAACCTTTCCTTATTCGTTGTTGTTATCTATCACCTTAGTTTCCTCCTTTTTCACATTTGCTTCCTCCTCTTTCACATTTGCTGAATCAGTAACCTCAGCTCTATAAACATAAATCATAACCACGACCAAGAACAAGAAGAAGTTAACCAAATCAAAATATTATTTACTTTTGAGAATCCCTAATGAGGTTCACCATTGGAGGTGAAAAAACTCATGGTTTATAAACTTTTAAATTATCATTATTTACTATTAAAAAAAATCTTAAGAACTTTTTCATGGAATTCACTAATGAACATGCTCTTAAACTTAATGCATCATATAAGCAAAACTTTTTTTTTAATTCAAGTATACAGTATCTTGAATCCTTATAAAAATATAAATATTCAGAGAAATTGAGAAATAATTGTTTCCATTATATGAACAAATTATCATCATATATATTAAAAGCGGGTTCAGAATAAGCAATGGAAGCCTCTCATTGAGTTTCAGCTGGTTAATTACCCCTTACCCTTAATGAAAAAATAAATTACCTCTTAATTAAATAATGCCGAAAATATTAACCAAAATTAAAAAAAACATGTGTGGACCTATTTAAATATCAGCCCATATTTACGATTTTACGCAACCTAAACGAAACCCTAACAATATAAACCCTAGCCTTGAATAACTATATAAACACGACCCCTATATTCATTCTTTGATATTATCTTAGAAAACTATATCGACTACAAATTTTTTTCATGCGGCTACATATACATATACCAAGTTTTTGGTCATCCTATATCATTATTTTTGTTTTTCCGTATGCTGTTTGTTTTGTACTTTAGGTTTGTTGACGAGTGATGTTAATCTTTTTCATATTAATTGTTTGTTTGATGCGAATTTTGAATGGATGCTGATTTTTTTTGTTTTGTTTTGTTTTTTTTTTTTTAAAAGGTAGGTGGAGAAGGCTACCAGCGACATAATCCATAGTATTGAAAGGTTTGTTGAGTTGTGTTTTGACTATTTTGAGGAATCTAATCAACTGGTTGGAGATAATATTGATTTCGAAGGTTTGGTTCCTTTGATCTGCCTTTTAACTTGGTTTCTATGGCGTCTTTTACCTCTTTTTTTGTGATTTCTATCATGTTTTAATTTTTCAATGTTTTGTATATTTATCCCTTTTCATTCAAGGTATTGGTTTCGAATATGCTTTTATGTTCTTTCGTTAGCCGTACCTTTCAGTAGCTATACTTTTAAATGTGCTTTCGTTAGCTGTACTTCTTTTTTATATATACTTTGGCATTATGCTCGATTGTTCTTCCTCTCACCAAGCATTACACTCTGGTTTCCTTTGTTTTGTTCCCAATGTTTTCTGCAAGTTTGTTAGCCTTTTTATCTGTTTTCTTAGGCTTTCATTGATCTTATCGTTGTCTTTTTATTTTGGTTGCCTTTCACTTTGGTTTTAATTGTTGTTCACGGTTCTTATTGCTTACTTATTGATGAATTTTTTTTTTTTGTTTGTCCATTCATTCCTTCGTGCTTAATCTTCTCCTTCATTTAAACTCTTTCTATGCTATCTACTAAATTTATATCGTTTATGCTCATCGTAGATCTTCTTTGCTACAAGGTCAAACAATTTGTTGAAACATGGTTTTAGGTCATATATATTCGCTTGGTGTGTGTATCGTTTCTGTTATACTACCGAGATACATGTTTCCTCTTATCACGTTTATGAACTTGAGTGTTGTTTGTTTGTTGTGTTATGGTTTTAGGTCATATATATTCGCTTGGTGTGTGTATCGTTTCTGTTATACTACCGAGATACATGTTTCCTCTTATCACGTTTATGAACTTGAGTGTTGTTTGTTTGTTGTGTTATGATTTTTTCGATCGGTTTAGCTATTGTTTTTATTGCCTTTATCTGTTTTTATTGATCTCTGATTTGCTGCTTTGTTGGTTCAGATCGTTTTAATAGATCTTCTGGTTTTCGTTTTCGTCGTCTCTTCTTCTTTTTTGGATTATTTTGGGTTTGCTTTCGTTTTGATTTTTACATAAAAAAATATCGATAGGATGTTCCCTTCTTTATTTCTTATTATTTTCTATGTAACCAGTTTGTTGTTTTTTATTTTTTGTAGGCTGCTTATTTGAGACCATTATCTCCACCGCCTAAACCAACAGAAGATAAAGTAAGCACAAAGTTCAGCCTTCACAAACCAGTACCACTTCTCTGTTTCTCTCTTTGCATTGGTTCTCTCTCAGATCCAATGGTAATTTCTTTGGATGTTTAATTAGTTATCTTATTCTCATATATTAAAGCTTTGGTCACTTTAAAAAATCTTGGTTCACTAAAAGCTCACAACATCAAACGTTAGCATAGGCAAATGTGGTTGTAAAGATGCAGAGGATATGCATCATTCCTTTCTTTCAAGGTCTTCTGATTTTTACATTTTTATCGTTCTGCTTTTGTTTCATTGGTGCTAATTTCTTTGAATTATTTTCATTTTTTGTTCTGTTTGTCACTGACTCTTCATTCTTTTGTGGTTTCTTTTCTGATTTTCATGTGTTCTCTTTGCATTGTCTTCTCAAATTTTTTTTTTTTTTGTATTTCTTTCAGTTTGGTTTTGGGTGTTGTTCGTTGTTCTTCTTTTCTTATTTATCAAAGAGTTGGCTTTGTAGATGGATCTAGGGATATTTGGTCCAGTTTATGCGTCGTTTCTTTTGTAACACTTTAGCGGTCTTCTAAGTTTTACGTTTTCTTCATTCTGCCTCTCTTTGTGTTTTCTTTGATTTTGAAATCTTTAATTCATGCTATCTATCCCTCTCTCTCTCTCTTTTCTCCCTCTAGGTGAAACTGTCCACGGAGGTGTGATGTACATGATCTTTTTCGCTCAACTATAAAAAAGTGAAGTGTTTTCATCCGTTTCCCTTACTCTTTAGGAAGTGTCAACTTACCTCAAAGGTCTCAAGAAGCAGGAACGCTGTATTGCCTCATTCCAGATCATCAATTCTATTGAAGGTACTTGAGCAGTGGCCAAAGCCAAACAGAAATTGAACAAGCAAAGAAGAAGAAGACGAAGAAAAAGAAATACAAAGTCTGACAATTTTTTGATTACATGCAAGTGTTCCCTC